TCGTAATATTTCGAAATATTTTAAAAAGTTACCAAATATTACGCTTACGCAAACTTGCGGCGGGTCTGGAAGCTTACGAAATATTATGATGTGTAAACTTGCGCAACTTTTCGCACTATATAATTTCCTGATGTGGGCAAGATCTTTACAAGTACCTCTAATGAAATGGAATGGGAAGCTATTAGAGTAGAAGCCTTAAGTCCCTTTACAGAAACCTTGAAAATTTGAGCAATGTTGAATTGATATGGATATGATATAAATTTCATGTCATAATGGTATCAATTTCCATGATGATATTGTTATAATGTTGATTTGATATCGTTACTTCATCACCATAATTTATCATGAAAATATCATGGTGATATCTATTCAAAAGAATATTAAATCGGCACAGTCTTGATATCATTACAATGTCAGTAATTTCAAAAAAAAAAGATGTAGAATTTTTGATATTGATTTGATATCATCACTTCATCACCATAATTTATCGTGAAAATATCGGGACAACATTTATTTAAAAGAATATTTGATCAGTATAGTCTTGATATTGTTACGATATTGTTAATTTCAGGGAGAAAAAAGATGTATTTACGATATTGATATGATATCATCATATTATCACCATAATTTATCGCAAAAATATCATGATGATATCTATTCAAAAGAATATCAAATCGGCACAGTCTTGATATCATTACGATATCAGTAATTTCAAAAAAAAGATGTAGTATTTGCGATATTGATTTGATATCGTCACTTCATCCTCCAATTTATCTCTGAGATATCATGATAATATTTATTCAAAAATATCTAATCGGCACAGTCTTGATATCATTACGATATCAGTAATTTCAAATAAAAAAAAAAGATGTATTTACGATATTGATTTGATATCGTCACTTCATTGCCGCAACTCATTTGTGATATCGCAACTCATCTGCAATACCGCAAATATTAAACTTTATTTTTTTACAAATTAATAAAAAACTTTTAGATGTATAACATGCTGTCATACTATTATCGCCATTTTCAAATTAGTGTGATTGGCCATATTTTACTATTTAAATAAAAATATTGATCTCGGAATTACAAAAATAACCATCACGTGCACATATAAAAATTAAATATTAATTGATCTCCGTAATGCTAAGCCACTGTTGCATCACCTCCGATATAATTTTTTATCGTGATCGCGTTCATTTTGACGGTAGCATATAAACTGACATGTTCCGATTCCACAAATTTCAAACAATTACAATAATTATAAATATAATTTGTAAATAAAAGTGTTTACTCTTTATAGGTAAGCTCAACTATGCCTCGAGAATTCAGTGAAGATTTGTACTGTCATATAGTTTATCTTTATACCGATGGTTTGTCAACTGTGGATATTGCCAATACATTGCATATGAGTAAAGGTGTTGTAAATAAAATAAAAAAGAGATATAACCGTTGGGCATGTGTTATAAATCCTTTCAAAGGTGTTCCTGGTCGAAGAAAACTATTTAGTAGAAGAGACATGACTATACTTAGAGGTCTTGTCAGAGAAAAGGTAGACTGATACTTAGACGAATTGATATATGAAATGGAATGTCTAATAGGGAAAAGAGCATCCATTGCAACTCTCTGGAGGTCGCTTCAATATTTAGGAATTACTCGAAAAAAGATAAAACATTATATGTTGTAAATAATTGATGTAAATTATCTCAAAAATTTTCTCAAAATTTTTCTTGTATGAAGTTGCAAAAAGCAGCACTAGAAAGAAATGAAATTGTACGAGCACACTATTTAGCTACATTTGGTGAACATTATACCCAAAATCAACTTATTTTTATTGACGAAAGTGCTAAAGATGAAAGAAGTTTGTCACGTTTATATGGTTATTCTCCCAGAAATACACCTGTTCAAAAAAAAGTAGTTTTTATACGGGGAAAACGATATACCATTTTACCTGCACTTACAATGGAAGAATTTATTGGTATTGATATATTTGAAGGATCTTATGATAGAAAAAAATTTGTTGATTTTGTTCTCAATCAAGTAGTAAGTAATAATTGTGCTAATTACAAGAATTTGGATTATTTTTTTGATAATTTTATTACTATTTAGGTGCCAACAATGAATCCATACTATCCAGGAGATAATAGTGTTATTGTAATGGACAATGCAAGAATCCATCATGATAATGAATTAGTAGCTTTATTGGAGGGATTGGGATGTCATGTTGTTTTTCTTCCACCTTATTCTCCTGATTTTAACCCCATTGAGACTGCATTTTCAACTATCAAATCATGGATTAGACATAATCGTGATTTTATGAAAGCTTGTAACGATCCTGTATATGCATTATTAGTTGTGTGTAGTCAAATTTCACCTCAAATGGCAAAATCATATTTTGAAGCATCAATTTATGTTTAGAATAATTAGTTTTTAGAAAAATTTTATTTAGAAAATCAATTTATTAGAAAATAAAACGTATAGCTTTAGTTTATAGAAAAATATCAAATTTATTATTTGTATTATCAAATATTCTAATATATTTCAAAATCGTTGAGCTGCTCGTTTGACATTTTTCTGCCATCCAATTTTCACTACTTCTAATTTTTGCAATTGATCATCAGATAAATCTTTGATTACATTTACAGCAATTTCTTCTTCAAGAAAAGCATTTTCGAAGTTAGAGTATATACATTACAGTTATGTTTTTGATCTAAACTACTGAAAAATTCACCAATTGAAGGTAATGTATTTGGTGATGCTAATAGAACATTTGTATTATTAGAACTATACGATGTCAACTGTTCTTGAGAATTTGGATAAAATTGTGATGGTAATTGGATTATAATAGGAGTAGCAGTAGCAGGTAATGCCTGACTTACTTGTGTTTGTGCTGTCAAATTATTTTTATTGACAGATACACTTGATTTTGCATCAAATGTTGGATAAGATGGGGGCACTTCATAGGTAGCTGCTTCATTTATCTAAATAAAAATATTATAATTTTATCAATTTATACAATAAACAATATTTACGTTGAAAAACTTACTATTTCTCGTGCCCAAAGCTGCAATCTAGCAGGATTGAGTTGTAAATGCCGATTATCTTGAATAAAACATGGTGTTGCATGTATATTACATTTATACATTTCACATAAAGTAGAAATTACTTCAGATCTTGTTCTTTCTTCCTTTGATAAATCTTCTTCACAGATGGCACGTAATTTTTTTTTCTTTGTATATTGCAATTCTTCAGAAGAAAATCCACTTTCATCAGAACTCTAGAAAATAGTAAATGTTAAAAATTCATTTTTTATTATACTATACAATATATTGTATAAAAAACTTTACCTTACTGCGTGACTTTTTTTTCTTTATCAAATCATCCTTTACGGTTACTATCATTGACATTTTTTTGTTAGCTATGTAGAACTATCCTTTTATACTCACTAATAAACTCTCGAAAATCCATTTCATCTTCAAGTTCATTTGAAGGTCCACGTGCATTTACTGCCTTGTATGATATAGTATAATCTTTTGATTTGACTTTTTTCTTCAAAGTTTTTTGAACTGCTAAATTTATTTTTTCCATAACCTTTTTATAGCTAACGGGTTCAATATTCAAAGTTTTTGCCGTAGGTACTTTTATAGTATTACTCTTAACAATTATCTGCACTTTTACTTCTTCAAGATCACTATCTTCATCGTTAATCTCTATATCATCAATGCCTTCTCCCTCTTCAGTATCACTACTTACCAAAGAGAATATTTTATGATTTTTTTCTTTAACAACATTCACAACTTCTTTTTCATTTGATAAATCGCTTGGAGCAACTTTATTATTTTCTTTTAGAGTTTGCTGGTCTTTTCTATCAGCATTTCTATACCGTTGAATTTTGCTATTACAAGTACTACAAAAAGTGTAAGAAAATGATTCTTCAAAGTTACTATTATAACCAAATTTTTCATTAGCATCAAACAAATATTTATTTGCTTTTGGAAATAATGGATCTGGTTTAAAAGTACATTGATATATTTGTTGTGCGCGTTTTGGATGTTTAGTTCTTGTTGGTTGTTTATTTTTATTACATTTACATGGCTCTTGCTATGGCAACTCAAAACAGTGTAAGCATTTTTGACATGAATAACATGTGTCTAAAAGGTATTTGCAATTGAGTTCTGTCATTGAACTGATAATTTTTAAACGCGAAACTATCTTTTTTCGCGTAAAGTAGCGTCATTTTTATTAAAAATATCTACTAAATTAAGGAAATGATCAGACAGATAAATTGGCCAATAAAATTTTGTTTTCAGTGTTTTCGGTATTTTCAGGAATAATTTTATTGATTAACAAATCACCTGATCACACTAATTCGAAAATGGTGATAATAAAATAAAATTCTGATATTTTATGCGATTTTGAGAAGCTATTACTGATAGAGTTGAATTTTACCTTCTAATTTTAACATTGCATCCTTAAAACATACAAATATCGTAAAAAAATCCATGATTTCTCAATATTGATTTTATTTGTGATTATTTAGAATTCAATTAAGTAATATTTTTAAGTAATATACATTAGTTATCTCAAAAAGTAACTTTTTCTTAATAGACTTAGAGAATACAATGTTGCAAAGCATCTTTTAACGCCAGATTGAGCTTGTGCATTCATACACCGTCATACACCTTATCTCCACGTACGATTTTAGACCTCCTCCTTGTATATTTTTTAATTGAATAGCGCTTTAAATAATGCCACGCCTATAGCTGAATTTTTGAAAAATCTTGTGAGATTACATTTGCACATTTAATCAAATTTTTGACTAATTTTACAATGTCAGAACTGATTAAATTAACGCAGTGCGCAATGCACTGTATATCGAGAATTTATGGATAATTTTGAGAGATAATTCAGCAGTGTGGTCCCATCCAACCGACTAGAGCTAATAAAATGATCATGTGAATCTTAGAATAGATAACAAATAGAAGAAACAAAATTAAAATCAGAATATTAATAAAGAAATAATAATGAAATTTACCAATCGTATAATTAGTTTCCTTAGCTAATTCATTATGATAGATTCATAAATTTACACGAGCCAATTCAGCTTGTAATAACGTTCCATTTATTTAAAATTTGTCGAGTTGGTAAGTTGTACGCTGGTTGTAAAGTTTTAATCGTATCAATAAACCAAGGTTTTCAATAACACTAAATGGGATGCTACTCAATACTCATATAAAAAGCTTTAGTAACAGAAAGGTCAATAGCATCAAAATATCTCTTTTCCAATTTGTTGTTTTTTTTGTTAAAATTTTGAATTGATGTATATTCGTAATTTTGTCTTTGCTTTTATTTGGTGATTACCTTTCCTCCAAATCAATTAGTTTTTTAATATAAATGCATTGTATGATGAGAGAATATACAGTTTAATTAATCACATCGGGAAATTTTTTGGGAAGCAGATTTGCGCAGATTTTCAGAAATTATATCTGTGCAGATCTTATACCTTGGCGCAAAACATCAGAAGAAAAATCCAATAAAAAACTGCGCAGATTTTATAAATAACAAAGTTCTGCACAGATTTTTGTTATTAAATTCTGCATATATTTTACAAAATAAAAATCTGCAAAATTCATCAAATAATAATAAATTATACAAATTTTGATTGTTATTTTAGCATTATCTAACATCAATTTATTAATTAAACGCACTACAAATTTATCACTTTACTATATTATTTTATTAATGTACTAATAGCTAAAGTTCTACTGTAATTTACATGTTATTAATGGTTTGGATATTATTCCAGTTAGTTCGATTTCAACAAACAACTATTTAAATTTGCGTTTATGAAGCGTCTAGGAACTTGTAGACCTACCAAAAGTAGAAAAGTAAAAACATTCAGTTAATTAGTAATGTTTCATTAAAAAAATAACATTTAAACTTCAAAGAATACCTTTGAAGTTCCATCCAGGTGCAATCCAAGAAGTCGTGGACCTACAAATTTCATTTCTTTGAAAATCTTTATTTTTTTTTCAAAGTTCCATCCAGATGTCATCCAAAAAGTTGCTGACCTACAGTATAAAAAGAGAAACGAGATATTAGTTGATATTTTATTAAAGAAAACAAAAGAAATTAAAGAATTTCAAAGGGTACCTTTGAAGTTTAATTCAGAAAGCACCAGGAAGCCATAGACCTACAAAAAGAGAATATGTTAGTAAAGTTCATTAAAAAACAAAAAAATTACTGAAGTTTCGAAAAGAATATGATTCTTTTCAAAACTCACCTATTCAAAGGCCACAACCGATACCTGAAGTTTTGAAAAGTTAATGTAACTTTTTAAAACTTACCACAGGTTTCGTTTCCAAAGGTCCCAACTTGATACCTACAAAATAAAGAAAAGAAAATTAAAAATTTAAAGTTTCGAAAAGTAATGAAACTTTTCAAAACTTACCTATCTAAAAGATTCCAACTGATGCTAATCAATACCTACAAAATAAAGAAAAGAAAATTAAAAAAAAATTAAAGTTTTGAAAAGTAATGAAACTTTTTGAAACTAGAGTTTGGAACCGGTTGTATTTTTGGAAACCGGATTTAAAACGGGTGCAACCGGTTCGACCCTTTTCAAATCGGTTTTTACAAACCCGGTTGAAACCGATTTTTGTACCCGGTTTTATATTTGTTTAATTATAATAAATAAATAATAAAGTAATAGTTAGCCGCATCTGAAGTCACGTTCCTTGTTTTCAGTTAACTTATGGAATTCTACTATGATCTACATCCTGGATTAGAGTTTCCATTTTTGCATCAGGCTTACACTGATTTCAAAATGTACGGGACACATAACAAATTACAAAATTCTACCCACATAAATTTGTCAAGTATACAGTACACTGTAATTTTGGCCAGAATTAAATGTGATCGGCATATAATTGGCCGAGTTTATAATTTCGGCCAGAATTACAAAACTTGTATAACACAATTCCAGAATTTGTGTAGCATAATTTTCTATAACTAATAAAAATCCCGGTGGCTAAACTATTTACCCGGTATCACGTGATTTATAATTTCGTAATTCGGGCTGGCACTATAAAGTTTCGATATCACACCGGGTTGAGCACCTGGTTGCACTCGCTTTAAACGCAAACCGGTTTTTGCAGCATGAATCTGGATTGAACCGAATCGTAAAAAAAATGGGTGGAACTGGTTTAAAAACCGGATGGTGCATCCGGTTCCAAACTCTATTCGAAACTCACCTATCTAAAAGATTCCAACTGATGCTAATCAATACCTACAAAAAAAAGAAAAGAAAATTAAAAAAAAATTGAAGTTTTGAAAAGTTAATGTTAACTTTTTGAAACTTACTACAGGTTTCCAAAGGTCACAACCAATACCTACAAAATAAAGAAAAGAAAATTAAAAAAAAATTAAAGTTGCGAAAAGTAATGAAACTTTTCAAAACTCACCTATTCAAAGGTCTCAACCGATGCCAATCAATACCTATAAAATATAAAGAAAAGAAAATTAAAAAAAAATTGAAGTTTCAAAAAGTTAATGTTAACTTTTCGAAACTTACCACAGGTTTTCAAAGGTTGCAACTAAAGCTCCGAATAGTTCCGGTTTAACCTGAAAACCAAACTAGATCTGAATCAAAAATACGGTTCAGTTCCAATAATTTTAATCCGAAATTTTTGGTTCAGTTTCAGTTCAGTTCAGTTTTTTTTAATAAACCAAACTGGGACCCGAACCGGGAACTGGTAGAACTGATAAAAAAAATTTAAAAAAAAAAATTTTTTTTTATTTTGTATTAGCTTTCTTTTCGTTTTCCTTTGCGCACAGAAAAGTAGTTTTTTTCGTTCTCTTTTTTTTTGTATTTCTTTTTCGCCTCCTTTACTAATGTCGTACGTCTCCCTCTCTTCTTTTTGGTCTTAGTTCTTTGCAGTTTTTCACGGAAAAGTCCTTTAGGCTTTTGGCTCTTTGGCTCTTCACGGTTGGTTTTTTTTGTTTAGATTTTTTTTTGGTTTTCTTTTACTAATTTCGTTTGTCTTCTTTCTTTTTTTAGGTTCCAGTTCTTTGCGTTTTTCACAGAAAGGTGTGCGTTTCTTTTTTTTAGTTTTTCGGTTATTTTTTTTTTATTTTCTTTGCTAATTCCATTCTCCTTCTTCCTTATTTTAGATTTTCAGTTCTTGTTCTTCGTGAAAAGGCAGGTAATTGAAATGTTTTTGTTTCTTTTTTTTTGTTCTTTTGTTCTTTCATTTTTTTTTTTGTTTCCTTTGTTAATTCCGTTTTCTTTCTTCCTTTTTTTAGGTTTTCAGTTATTGTTCTTTACGGTGTGTTTCTTTTTTTATTTTTGGTTCTTTTTTTTTGTTTCCTTTGTTAATTCCGTTTTCCTTCTTCCTTTTAGGTTTTT